CACACAGAGACCCTCATGTTAGGCACACACCCCTTCAGTACCACCACTGCTCATCACACGCTCTCCATATCTCTCTAGAAGAGAAGGAGCCTTTTAAAAAATGGTGCGTAATTCACTGTTGGAAGTCAAGAAAGCACTGTTGAAAACTTTTAAAGGGTTCATTTAGTAGAAAAAAATGGAAACTAAACTGCCGAACTGCATAATTTCAGTTTGTCATGGCTGTGATGTCACAACCATAAACACATTTATACATGTAAGCCCATTTAGACTACATCAGTTCAGCAGCTCATTACCGTTTAAGGGATGTGGAGTGGAGTTTCGGCAGAAAGTCTTGGTTATTGGAGTGAAGGAGGTGTGGGTAACAATTAAACATTGTAATATTCCAGACTACCAGGAAGCAAACCTATCATTGCAGCCTTTCAAAAGATCCACACACCCAAAAGAATAAATGAGGCTTATTTTTCTGACATTCCTGAGGATTTCAGTCTGAACTTGCCAGTTTTTCTCATGCATTTCATTCCTTTTTTGAACAAGGCATAATACTGAGCAGCCAATCAAAACAAAGTCATTTGCATATGTCAGTCTTAAAAGTACAGTGTGTGTGTACATATATATATATAGATATATATATATATATATATATATATATATATAGATATATATATATATAAGGGGAGAGAGAGAGAGTTTGACATCCATTGATTTTGTATCCTTTTTTTGTCTCATACAATAACCAGCATGCATTATGCAAGTACATCATACCAATGAGACAAATAAATCCCCCCACTTTTAAGATATATCAAGATAGATTTCCTAGTCTTTAAACTGGAAGATCTCGTTAGAGACTACTGTCCTACCACTGTAAGGATTGTGATAAGCATTTCTACAACAGATGTAGTGATGGTTAAATATTTTATCTTGGCTGCAGTGCTGAGCTGGACCAGATGGAGACCTGAACCATGACAGTAGAAGCACTCCGTTACTCACCCGTATGAAATGATAACATCTGAAGTATCCAAACAGTCATTCGCCTTGTTAGCTTATGCCAGCCAACTCTGCCTCTTGAGGGTTTCCAGGTCTATTTCTACAGCTTTAAAGGTATTCTCTTAGTACAGCCAATTATTAAGCTGGAAGGAAGGTGAACCAGAATAAACCACTGCTTCATGCCCCTGGGCAGTGCTACCTCAATAGCTTTACCCTTGGACATTCCTTTCCTCTCCGCCAAGGATAGTAAAATTAGGTTATCATTTACCGTGATGAGCGAGGCAGATTGTGCATGGCGAATCAACGATGTTAAATGAGCACCTACAGCGTCACACCGGGTAGTTACACCAACTGTCTCTAATGTACACAGTCCGTGTTAATTCAACAGTGGTCATTTAGCTGTGGGATTGAACAGAACTTGTCAAGACTTTGTACACACTTCAATTCCAAAAAAGTTACGAGAGTATCTGAAATAGAAATGAAAACAGACATTAATGATTAGTAAATTCTGGTTGACCTATGATAAATTGAGAACAGTACCTAAACTCAATATTTCAAGTTTTACCTTATTAACTTTATTGACCTTATTTATTTATGTATTTATTTTATGTATTTATGGGGACTAAAAATACCAATTGTTTCTTCTGTTGTATAAGTCCTTACCTGTGTAGTCGTACATGCTTCTTAATGCCCCACATGTTTCCAATAGCAGGCAGGTCTGGACAGCAGGCAGTTCAGCCTAGCACCTGCACTCCCTGGTCATGCAGCTATGCTGCTGTAACACATGCAGAATATTTCTAGTCATTGTTTTGTTGAAATAAGCATGGATGTCCCTAAAAAAGATGCTGTCCATAAGTGTTTACATCCTTCGTTGTGACGCTTTCAAAGATACCCACTAATACATACCATGACAGACTCTGACTTTTGAACTTTATGCTGTTAATAATATGAATGATCCTTTCAGAGTTAATGGTGCTTTAACAGATAACTCACTAATACCCCCGCTATACCATTGACAGACACTAACTTTTGAATGCTGGTAACAATATCAATGGTCCTTTTCTTCTTTGGCCATGACCATCATTTCCTTAAACAATCAAGTTTTACTTATCAGACCACAATGCATGTTTGCTCTGTGCGTCAGCCCACTAGAGATGAGCTTGAGCCCAGAGAAGTCGGCAGCGTTTCTGGATGTTGTTGACATATGGCTTACGTTGTGCATAGTACAGTCTTAACTGACATTTGTGCATTGTTGATTTTTGTGGATGATGGTGTGTGAAAGTATTGCTGAGCCCATGTGGTGATATCCATCACAGAAGCATGCTTGTTTTTAATGGAGCACCCTTCGAGGGATCAAAGGAACAATCAGTTTTGGTTTCCAGACTTACACTTTACGCACAGAGACTTCTCTGGATTCTCTACATCTTTTTAAGATATTATGTACTGTAGAAGGTGAATACCTAAAATCCTTGCAATTGCTTGTTGAGGGATGTTGTTCCTAAACTGTTGGATTACTGACTGCAACATTTTTGGCACAGTGGCAAGCCTTAACTTTTATACCCATGATCGCATTGCCTGTTTAAAATGTTAACATTTCACATTTCCTAGTAAGGTAAAACATGAAATAGGTGTTTTTGTACTGTTTTCATTTAGACACACTTCAAAGCATATTTACAATTCACAATCAGTTTTCTATTTCATGGGTTATATTACAGGACTGTAGTATTTCCTGCCTAAATTCATTTGTAGCGGAACAGTGTCTCCACATCCGTTCTTCTACATTACACAGACCCTGGACATTAGGTTAATTGGCGCTACCACAGTTAGAATTGGTTACTGATGGATCATCTGAATGTGAATTACACAAGGCTGGATAATTGAAGAACCTCTGACCTGAAGGAGGAAAAATGGCATCATTAGCTTAACTGGGATGGTTAGAAGTCCTTATTGAAGAGCGCTTCTTTCTGATAATAAGCCATTGTGGAATTCAGTATGGTTCTTTAATGTTCAGGCTATGTTGCATGACCTGACTCTATGAGAGCAGGCCAAAGAGCTCATATCTGCCAGTTTCTAAGTCCTTGGTATGCAGAGGCAGCCTCTGAAACAGTAGTTGTTTAATGTTAGATCTTTACAGCAGATTTGTCTCGCAGATCCCTAATAAGCCTGCTGTGACTGCAGCGTGGGAGAGTGGTAGAACTTTCCTGGGTCTATCTTCGGAAATATCTTCACTTCAGACTAGGCCTGCACAATCTGGACTAAATACCATATTCCAATTGCATTGCTACAGATTGCGATAATGATATGCTTTGCTATATATAAAAAACAACTCGTAATTCCAGTCAAAACAGCCATGAAGTACAAGTTATTCATGTAAGGTAATATTTATGAGGAGATGAGATAGAAGATAATTTACTTGCATAAAGTCATAGAAAAATAAATAAATAAACAGGAGTTTCCAAAACTCAAACAGAAAAAATGGGACCCCTTTCAACCAGGCAAGACTTGGTAGATCACAAAAAGTCACCATCAAGTAAACAGTACTTTAATCTTTGAGAAGATTTGCACTAGAACATTATTTAGATCACGAAAAGCAGAAAATGCAACCGAATTCTAAGACTATACTTCGGAGGTGTGGAAAAATATCCCAGCAGATTTCTATGGAAAACTGGAAGCTTCCTCAGACTGTTTAGGGTGGACACTGAAAACTTTGACATTATATTTAGTTGTTGAGGTTTCCATGTAATTTTCTATTATATGTGTTTTCTGCTTTTTTTTGATGCTGAAAAGTGAATACATGAAGATCTACTACTTAATGGCTGTTTTGACTGGAACATCTGATGTTGTTCAGGATGCTCACAACGCAACTGAGTGTCTCATGATTTATATAGTGATAACAATTAAAAAGCAACATATTGTGCAGCTTTAAAATTATGCAGTGATCTCAACCTAAAGCCACTGTACATATTTTATCACTGGCATGGTTGGTTTGTCAGGGAATTTCCTCTAAAGGCTTGCCTCACCATTTTTCTTGTGAAGTATTCTAACTATAGCTCTTTATCTCTCACAGCAGATTTCCTTTCATTGAGCATACAGCTCCAAAAAGACTAAATTAACACTTCATAAAAGATTAATTAACATTTTGTACTCTACTGATGCATAACAAACCCACCAGTGTAAAATTTGCACCCACAGTGTCATTTGTAGACCTGGGATAACTGCACACAAGGAGCCCACTTTAACACTGTTGGTGTTAATGTTATATTACTGAACTTGCTGTGAGTCTCAAAGATCAGCTAGATTTTAGTATGAGAGAAAGGAAAGAAACGCAAAGTTTTTATAATCTTTTCAAGTGCAGCAAGACCTACCTTTTAAAAATGTCAGTGACTGACTGAAGAGTTTTAAAATTTTACGTGACTATGATATTAAGATATAAACAAAAAAATATCCCTGAGAAACTGTCCCTGAGTCATATTCTCAGATTTACCACAAGTTTACTATCAATTGCAAAGACATTGTGACCCCTGGTTCCTACCTCCACCACTGTAAAGACATCTTTTTTGTCAAGACACTTGAAGAAGACCATTTTGTTTTACTCTTGTGCCATTTAAACCTTTTAAATAACATGGAAAAAATTCCAAAATAGTGTGTATATTTTGGGGTACATTGGGACTTTACGACACATGCATAAGCATTAAATAACATTTATAAAACAATACATGAACATTTATAAACAGCTTATGCCAGTATCTGCAGGATTTGTATTGTGGACACATGACCCATGGTTCCCATCACCATCACTGTCAGAAATCAATCTACTCTGAATGACTTCGTTCATATCTCTACCTTTGAATTATGCAGCAGTTGTGAAAAATTGGTGGAACTCATTTTAAACTGTTTACCAGTGTACACTCTGAAAATAAACCTCCAATACTGTGTTGTAACCATCTTTTGTTCACTGAAGAGTTTCCTGATCTCACCCTCTCTTTTGCTCTTTCTTTCTTTATTGTTATCCCCAGACAACAGATGACGTGCTGGTGGCGTCCGCAGAGTGTCCGAGCGACGACGAGGACATTGACCCGTGTGAGCCGAGCTCAGGTGGGTTAGGTTAGTCATCTTTTTTATTACTCTATCTCTGGTTGTGTCAGTGTCTCTCTGTGTCTCGCCGACCTGGTGAACTACGTGTCGACTGTCCTGTTATAATTAGCACAACTCTGTGCTTTAGCCCTTGTTAAGTGTAAAATATGGAAAGCATGTGTACTCCTGCAAAGGAGGAGAATTAAAAAGCTATTTATGTCTGAAAAGAGGAATACTCTATGCAGAACTGCTAATGTGGCTAAAAGCAACTGGAGTTTAGTATGCTAAACTGCTTAGCATAAACTGGTTTGCATGCAGAGTGAATTAGTCCTCTGTATCATTTACTCAAGCAATATACACTACTATGTTTGGAATCTCTTGTATCTTGTTGAAGATATGTGTGTATATATACACATTGACAATACCTGAACAAGAATGTAACTACTCTTGATGTACCCACTGTTATAGATGGATTGTTGTAGTACATCTTACGTAAATACACGTTTCAACTTCATGTAATTACATAACTGTATCTTGATAATAGTAACTACACATGTAGCAATTTTTCCAACAAGACTTTTCTGCTTGCAACAGATGTAAAACCTACAATATTAGGGTGCTAACTCTGCGTCTGCACAGGAAATGCCACCTTTCCTAACATTTAGCTAGCTGTAGCAGTATGCTTGTGTTGTGATATGGTAAACCTGGGGTGATTAATCCTTATTAATAAATGTTAATAAATGAAACAGAATATATAAATCAGCCACACTTCCAACATCTCAACCCATTTTCTGCGAGATCCTCACACATTTTGAGCGATGCTCCTTCAAATGAATATCTAGGAGCAATCCATGCACCCGGCCCACTGTATGTTTAGGCTCATTCGCCAGTTATGCCTGATTTGTGCCTGAAACTTCTACAAAAACGCGTTGTGTTTGGAACATGGGGATTAAATCTTGATGCATGACTCATTTAGATGATCTCAATAGATAATAACAGTACTATTTCTCATATAAAAACTTGGTAGTGTTCCCAAAAAACATGGAATACTTCTATAGTATTTTAATCTACACTCTAAAATTATCATGGAATAAAACATGATGGTGTCATGTTATATTAATTGCTTCTCCACAATCACAGACCATTCTGTAGAAAGTGCAGATTGTGAACTTTCAATTGGTATCACATTTGTATTTGTACATAGAAGAGGAGATATTTTATTATGTTTTGAATTGACTGAAATAATAACTATTTTGTGCACATTTTCCACTTTTTCCACATTTCCTGATACGTCAAAATTATAAATACAGATTATCAATCAAATGTAAATGTAATTCAATATAATAATTACATAGTTCCAATTTAACTGGTATAAATGTGTTTTAGGTGATGTATTAATTTACGACGTCCCTAATAAGACCCTCCCAGTGTCTTGCAGCATCTTGCTCTCTTGCTCCATGTGTGAGTTGGGAAAAGTTAAGGGGTGTTATCCCAGATTGGATCAGTTTGAAAGAGAGAAGTGGGACTATTTGAATGATTCCTCCACCTCTCTCCACTCTGCCACAGCTACGTGACTCACAGTAGGTCTCCGCTCTCATTAATTAAGCTCAGCAGCGGCCAGGGGAGCTAGAATTGTGTTGTCTTGCGCGCTCCTCTGTTTACGGGCGCTGATTACACATGACACGCTCCTAGTGCGCCAACTACGTCAAGTGCCTCCTCTAAGGAAAACAAACACTGTTTTTTCTGGAGTGCCGAGTGTTCGACTTCCTGCGGCGCATCAGGAACAACACAATATCCTAATTAAGAGGACGGGCAATTGTACCTAGACAATTGTACCCAGGGATGAGTAAGTGTTTTGACCTGGAAGTGATTTCTTGCAGAAAACGGCTCATTTCACTGCACCCAATTTTAATTAAAGCACGTACATTCGAAGCGTTCGTAGACTGCGTTAGTAAATATTTTTTGTATTTAGTGAGGTTCAGCATGCATGCCACTCATACAGTTTGATTTTTTGATTTTGAAAAGAAAAAATAAGGCTGTTTATGAAATGTACTTTGCTGTTTTAGGAGAGGAGAGGGTTGCATCACAGTTAGAGCCAGTTTCAGGCCAATATCAGCAGAAAAGGGAAAAATGAATTCAACTCATTGCTATAACTAATCTATCCTGTCACAGCACACACTTACATTATGTGATGTTACTGTGTATTTCCTCCTGTGTGGTAGTGGACTGTTTGGCTAGTTTGATAATATTTTGGTTGCTCATTTTAAGTGAAGTACTTCAATTAAAAGCTAATTTTAAAGGCTAGTATTTCTTAAAGAAAAACAAATTGCATTACTATTGGCACATCAGTGTAGAACCCTGACTATTAGAGCTTGGCCCCTTCAATTCAGGCCATAAATGTCAAAACCTGGTTAAAAACATGCTGATTTCTACTAGCACACCTATGGGATTCTATGGGGTACGCTAACAGGCTGATGGCCATTCACATTAAGGTTTTTTTTCGGCAATTCAAGTTTATACACGGACATCTATAGCTTGTAAAAGACATTGTGAATTTACACGAAGCTTGTAACATCTATTAACATATATTGTACCATACATGTAGCGGTTTTAGTTTCCTTCCTTCAGTTCCTTCAGTAATGAGCCCTTGCATAGAATTGCCACTTTTTCCATTTCTAACAACTAACTGAAAACTTGTAAATCAAAAACTTGATGGTTGATTCCTGTCATTTGCTAATTATGTTTGTAGATGAACTAATGTGTAAGGCCTTCAGTTCAGCTCCTGAAGGCCTAACCAATGGGAGAGCTAGCTTGGCTGTACAGAGATAAAACAGAAACAAAAATCCTGACTGGACAATTTTCATTATAGCTTGGTAGCTTGCTTCTCCTGGAGTGTTCAAATGATGTACCTTTACATATCAGCATCTAGACTGACTTTAGTCTTGAAATCTGGCTATTTGAAGTGTTGAATTCTCAGTACCCAAAACTGAATCATATTTCTTTAGGAAATCTGACCCTTTTGTATTTGAAGTAAAACATTATATACACATCCAAATATACAAAAAACCCACTCAGTGTGCGATACTAATCTCCCCTCTATGACCACATACCACCTTAAAGGAAGTCTGCCTGCTGGCTCCTTGAGAGAAAGAGATTACAATCAAGGCCTGCATGGATCAAAAGTGGGATGAACAATTAAGTCCAAAGACTTACCGCCCCTTGCGCTGCCTATTGATCAGAGCATAAGCAATAAGCCCCTGCACCAAATTAATGTCTGCCCCACAGTAATCCAACATCTGTCTATCTGCAGCCAACATGCGTCTAGGTTGCAAGCTGAGAAGATAAGTAGGTGTATCTGTCCCTTGTCCCTGAGCCTGACAGATGGAGATCTGCTTTCTGAAGGAAAACCTTCAGACCTGCTATTACAATTTTTTTTTACAAAGCAGCAGATGAGCTTGTTTACTTTCGAGAGGATAGTAGCAAGTGTTGCAGCAAGCGTATTGCGCAAGGTCAAAGGAGGGCAATGTGGAATGCTTAAATGCTGTCGTTTCCTCCACGGAAAAGCACAGAAACATTTCCACAGGGCCACCTGGGTGATTTGACACCAGCTGCCGTAGGTTGTGGGGGTTGACAGGCATCTAACAGCATATATTGATCAATATCTACATTCAGTGCCACTTGCATGGCTGGCAGAGCAGCGCATAGCATTTTCCTGATTCCCTGCTCAAAGTGTGAAGGACTGGATCCACTGCCACCGAGAAGGTGTCTCAGGTTATCCTGTAGTCTCGGCGCCCTTTTCCAGGCTGAAGGAGAACATCTCTCTTTCTGCACGAGTGAAAAAGTGGCCTTTGTTGGAATTCTCAGTAGTCCTGGAGTACCTGAGAATTGTCCAATATTGCCCAGGGTCCAGAGGGATTCCGATCAAGCACAGCCTTTACTTTCTAGAAACTCTTCAGTGCTCAAATTGTCACTTCGATAAATGCCTTTTTCCAACCCAAAATTGCTCAGTCCCCAGCCACCTGCAAGATAAAGCAGGCTTCCGCGGGTACACACATACCCCTGGCTGCACGTGGGACGAAGCAATGGTAAGATGTCATGGTGGCTTGCTCGCCCCTCAAGGTCAGTCCAGCAGGCTGTAGATCATACATGAGTTCTCCAGTGGCAGAACTATCAGCGATCGAGTGATATTGATCCCCAGCCTTATTTGTCACTGCGCTTTATTTCTTTTACTGCGGGCCCTGCCGGCAGAGCAGACTGGAGCTAATCTTCCAGCAGGACCCAGATTAGATCACACTGCAGCAAAACTGAACCTCTCAGCTGGTGAAACCAAGAACAGGAAATGTAGGCTCTGCCTCCAATACGTTTAAGGATAGGAACAGGGGGACATAGATAAGATACAGATAAGTTTTAAATCCCAGGTCACCACTATTAAAATACCCAGCAATAGACTGGAATGTGCTGGGAAGATTAATGTGCCATGGTTGTATGAGCTCCATGGTGGAACCGCAGATGAACAATACTTGGTCCTGTCAAGTGCTAGCCTTGATTAGCACAACTAAATCTGATTTTTTTCTGGACCTAGCTAACTATGGTGGCTTTTTATCTAACATATTCTTTTGTGTTGTTTTTTATGTGTAGTGTTGATGAAGCTTATAAGTATTGCATCTAAAGTACACTGCATGAGTGAGCTCAGCATAAGAGAGAAAGAAAAAAAACTGCATTAGTGTGCTGTATAGCTCTATGCTTTAAACTACTTGGCGTCAAACATGCTGCTTTTTTTCAATACCAGCATCCACCTTCACAAACACACTAAGTTATCTTTTTTTAACATATTTATATTTTCACTTTTCCCTTTTTTCTCTTTGAACAGTATAATCAACCAATTAAACAAATGTTGAACCACCCTCTAATACCTGAATAGGGCAATGAAATATTGACAGCAGGCAGTTCTGAGGTCTGTCTCACGTTCTAGAGTTCTGAATTGTATACTTACTGGTAGGCATCACAATAGGTTGCCAATC